GACCGCCGTGTCCAGCGACGGCAGCAGAGGTGCCCCACGGCAGCGGCTTCCCGCCCCGCTCCTCCGCCGGCCTCCTCCAGCAGCCGGCGCGCCAACCAGCGACCCAGCGCTTCCCCAAAGGCCGTCAGCAAGCGCCGCCCGGGACCAGCTGGCCGCAGGGCCCACGGAGGAGGCAGCCCAGAAAATGACTCCTTGGGGGGAATGTGTGTGGTTTTAATGATGTATATTTTGAAATTAAACAAAAACCTCTCTCAAAGTGCAAATACTCAACAGATTCCTTCCTGACTGTCAGATCAACTGATCTCGCAGCGGCCTCTCCTCACACACTCCCCACACAGAACAAGCCGGTAACATCTCAACAGCGTTTTAGGAGGCACTGCAGCTCAGCAAGTTTCATAAAGCACTCTGCTGTCATGACAGCTAAAACTGATTCTTCTCAGCAGACTGAGTCCAGGAAAATCCCTCATTTTCAGTCAGAGCCCGTCTTATTTTCTGTTACTTCTGCCCACTCACCGTGCAGTGGGAGTAAACGTTTTCTTCCACGGCAGCAGCAGTCTCTCCTAAAACGGTGTCTTATTCACCAAAGCGCCAATGCCTCCTCTCAGTGCGCGGTGGCTCACCTCAGTCCTGATGTGAGCCTGTAGCCTGAGCACAGCACAGAGGTAAACAGACAGCCCTTTCTGTCTGAGCCCCACTTGGGTCGCCCTCGGAGAGTCTCCGAAGTGGGTGACGGCGGTAGGGGCTCTAGCTTGGCTGATGTCCATGAGAACCATGACACAAAACAAAAATGCATGCCCGCTCTCCGAGTGTTACTCAGAGTGGCAGCGAGTATGTTCCCTGGACAGGTGGATGGACCGACTGATCAGCAGGGGTTACACGCTGCAGTTTGCAGCTCACCCTCCAACATTCAGAGGGATTATAGAGGTGGTTCTGTCATCTCCAGAACAGAGCTTGTCTCTCCAGTCAGAAGTACAGGAACTCCTGGTACTCCCAAAGGAGAGGAAAACACAGGGTTTTACTCCCGCTATTTTCTGGTTCAGAAAAAAACGGGACGGATGAGACCCATTCTCGATCTGTCCACATTTAGCAAATTGATCATAGACAGACAATTCTACATGCTGACAATCAAACAGCTGCTGGAGAACGTCCACCAGAGCAACTGGTTCACCTCCATAGATCTGAAGGATGCATATTTCCACATTCCCATCATCCCAAAACACACAAAATTTATATTTTTCTTCTTCCAGGGGATCCTGTATCAGTAAAACTGTGTGCCGTTCGGTTACTCTCTCGCCCTACGCACGTTTTCCAAATGCGTGGAGACGGTTCTGCAGCCATTACATATGGCAGGAATGAGAATCCTATTTTATCTGGACGATCTGCTTTTATTGGCTCGGTCTAGACAGGAGGCAGCCGTGCAGACCAAAGCTTTAGCGGTACATCTGCTAAACCTGGGTTTTCCCATAAACTGGGGAAAAAAGTTCCGTTCTTCCTTTCCAGATGATTGTTTATCTGGCAGTGGAGCTAAACTCAACCACGATGAGAGCCCGATTATCACAGCCGAGAGCTGTCAGCTCAGCTCCGCTGTGTCAAACCCCGCAGCGTAGTGACAGCTCTGTCTGCCATGTGGCTCCTGGGGATAATGCCAGCGGTTCACGTTGTGGTTCCACTGGGCCTGCTTCACATGAGACGTCTTCAGAGATGGTTCACCCACCTGAGACGGATGAGCTATGTCCCCCCCTCCGTGGGAGCTGATCTGAATCACTGGGGAAACCCCCTCATCCTATCAGAGGGAGTCCCCATAAGAAGGCCTATGTCACAAGTCTGTGTTCATGGATGCATCCCCGTCAGGCTGGGGAGGAACGTGTCTGTCCCAGGTGGTGGGAGCACAGTGGGCAGACCACGTCTCTCCACAGAAATGTGCTGGAGCTTCTCACAGTCTAGAAAGTGACTCAGCATTTTGCTCCTCTGCTGTGGGATCAGCATGTTCTGATCCACACAGACAACAGAGTGGCAGCAGCCTACATAAACCATCAGGGAGGCATGCGCGCAACTCAGCTGTTACAAGTCGCGAGACAGCTGCTGTGCTGGGCACAAAAAAAACCTGCTCTCCATCCGAGCAGTGTACATTCTCGGCGTCCTGAACAGAGGAGTGAACATCATGTCGAGGGGCGGTCCTCGTAACGGGTACTGGAGCCTCCATCCCGAGCTGATCTATCGGATCTGGAGCAGGTTTGGCCGAGCAGCAGTGGATCTGTTCGCCACACGGGAGAACATCCAGTGTCATTTATGGTTCTCACTGAGCCCACCGGACGATCCACCGTTAGGGGTGGATGCCTTCGCTCACAGCCCGTGGCCAAAAATGCTCCTTTATGCTTTCCCTCCAGTTCCTCTGATTCTACGGATCCTGGATCGAGTTCAGGAAGAAGAGCTGTTAGTCATTCTTGTAGCTCCTGAGCGCAAAAGCGCCTTGTGGTTCCAGAATCTACAGCAACTGGTGTCGGGCTGGCCGTGGAAAGTGCCGTGGAGGGAGGATGCGCTCCTCCAGGCAGGAGGAGCGATCAGGAGCTACCCAGAAATAGGTTAGCACCTCTGGGTTTGGCTGCTGAATGGATCCGCTTAGAAAGGCTGGGCCTCCCACAGATGTGCTGCGTATGATCCAGGACACATGAGCCGCTTCCACCATAGCGCTATACACATCAAAGTGGACAACTTTTCTGCGCTGGTGCGCGGAGAAAGGCGTGTAGGCCATTTCATGTCCGTTAGGCTGCATGCTGTCATTTCTGCAGCAGCTGATGGACAGAAAATTAGTTTTCAGCACAATTAAAACTTATGCTGCAGCTATTTCTTCCTGTCATGAGGGTTTCGGTGAAAGAACAGTCTTTAACCACCCACTGATGAAGCGTTTTCTGAAAGGTGTACGGAGACACAGACCTGTGTCACGTCCACTTGCCCCACAGTGGGATTTAGCAGTGTTTCTGTGCGCTCTGATTAAACTGCCTTTAGATCAGGTTTCACTTAAATTTCTGTCATTTAAAACAGCCCTGCTGTTAGCTCTGACATTGAATAGAGAGTGAGTGATTCATCTGCTCTCTCTGTTGCTACCTTATGTCTCAGAATTCAAGCCGACGGCAACTCAACTGTGCTGCGTCCTAACCCTGCTTTTACTCCTAAAAGCATTACAAGCTCATTCAGATCGAGAATGATAACCTTGGATGGGTTTTATCCTCCTCCTCATAATTCTGAGGAGGAATCCACATCTCACCTCCTCTGTCCCATGCGCGCACTCTCATGTTACATGACGCGCACAGCTGCACTGCGCTGCTTTCAGCTGCACTGCGCTGCTTTCAGCTGCACTGCGCTGCTTTCAGTTGCACTGCGCTGCTTTCAGCTGCACTGCGCTGCTTTCAGCGTCTGTTTGTGCTTTACAGGGACAGCTCTGCAGGACTCCCTCTATCCACTTAGTGCCTCTCACTGGTTGTGTGAGGCTATTTCTGATGCTTATAGTTCCTCTGTGCTGGATCCTCCAGAGAATCTGAGTTCATTCCACCAGAGGGATTTCATCCTCCACGGCTCTGCATGGAGGGAGGACAGCGGAGGGTATTTGCACGGCGGCTTCTTGGTCATCCCTGTGCTCATTTATTCGTTTTTATCTACGTGATATTTGCACTTACTCCATGACCCATTCTGTTCTCAGGGTTCTGACAGAATGATTATTATTTTTTCATAGAGCCTCAATTTGGGCTCACACCTGCCTGCCTGCAGTTGCAGTGTGAGATATTTATTATAAGTCACAGTTCTTGACTGCTTATGTTATTGATCTGTTCATCTGGAGGAGTTGTTGGCCTGCTCATCGTTACACTGTTACAACTTGCAACCTCCGTTGTTCCTATTCACAGCAGCAGGTCTGCTATCTCAGCCCATTTTTCACTAGAGATCATTCTTTTCTCCAGTGCGCTGTTGCGCATGGAGTGCGTAATTAAGCATTCAGAAGGCTGAGTGATGAAATGTGTTTTGTGCGAGCAGGTGCTTCATGTTTGTATCTGGATGGACCCAGTGAGGCATAGACTACATCCTGCTTCGCCTTTAACCCACTAGCAATAGCCTTAAAGGGTGAATACAGGCTGAAGTAAAAAGCTAGTTGGGAGCCGATTGTCCGGTCTCACCGTAATTTATATGGACCGGGGGTGGGGCCCACACAGCCAGTGGGCGTGGACTAAAGTTTTCAGTGCTGCGTTGCGCGCGAATGGATAAACCCACTAGTGATGGCCTTAAAGGGCTGCGCCTATACTCATAGCATCTGGGGTTACAGTACGTAACCGAGTTACTCCCTTCTCACAATCAAAATTACCCAAAGAAACTTGATAACAAAAAACCCAGCAATAGACGAATTTAGGTAAAATCGTAATCAAGCATCAGCTAAAAAATTTAAGTTTTTATTGATTTGTTTCATTATTGCAAATAATATTACTTGTGTGGTAAATGTTATAATGTTTTGTTAGAAAAGGTTAAAAATGGGAAATACAAATTAATAACTTGCTCAATAATTTCTCCACGTTTGTCTCGTTCACAGGAAATCTGCAGCGATCAGTAAATCAGGTTCTACTCGTAACTTGGTTCTACTTCCAATTAAAACTCTGATATCTTTACCAAAAAAAGAGAAAACGACCTTGGCGGGCAAAGTCACGAAAAAAGCAAACGTGTCAACTTCCAAAGCGAAAACCGTCTTTAAGCGGGATAAAGGCATCGTATCTGCAAATGGAGCAGTGAGACCTGTTAAAGGAGAAAAAGTGTTAAAACCCTTAGGAACCAAGAAGTCTACAAGTTCAAAAGAGTGTCCTGGTTCTGGTCACTTGAAACCAAAACCAGCAACTAAGAAGACTGATAATGGTTCTGCAGTTGGATTGAAAGAAACCACCACGTTTGAAAAATACTCCAGTTTGTTTGGCGCTAAAACTGTTAAAGGCAGCAGAACTGTCATTTGTGCAAAGACTCGAGCTTTAAAAACTCTGAAAGGCTTCAGCGCTAAAGAAAAGACCACAAAGGTCTTGTCAGAATCAACAGTGCAAGAAAGTCAGACAGAAGATTCTGGGACCTTCAAAGCCAAGAACTTGCATCCAAAAGTTGAAGAACCTGCAGCCGAGCCTGATGACTCTGCTAAAGAGATGAGAATCATCACAGAATCTGAAGAAAAACTACAAATAGAGATTAAAGTTGATGCTGAGACAAAAGAAAACGAAGCTGAAACACTGGAGGTTAAGAAAACTGGAGCGGATGAGCCTGAGGAAGTTAAATGTTCTGCTGAGGACGGAGGACGAAACGCGACTGCTGCCCAGGTTTTATCAGCTGAACCGCCAAACAGTCCGACGCCAACCGGTGACGATTTCATCCAACCAAGAGAGTCAACTCAACCACCTGAGACACAACAGATGACTGCAGAAACGCCAGTCGACGAGCCACCGCAGGTCCAACCGAGCCCAATGCCGAGTCCAGACTCCACGGCTCAGAAACCAGAGGCCGACGCAAAGACTGGAGACGGTTCTGGAGAAGCTGCTTTGGAGTCGGTGCAGTCGAATGGAAACTTGGAGTCAGAAACGCACTTGAAAGGTGAGTTGATTTTCCCTCCGCTGAAAAATGCCCCAGAAAACATAATTTGCTGTATTTTATTTGTCAGGACGTTAAAGCAATCAAAACCTGTAAGTTCTGTGCTTTTAATTGAGTCTGTTGAATATTTTTTACACACGGTGAAAAACTGCCGTCAGCTTAACCACAAAGAGGAGGTCAGCGGGTCTGCTGGTGGTTATGTAGAAATGACATCAGACACCTGAGGTTTGTTTTTATTTTGACAAAATGTTCAGAGGCATTTATCGTCTCTTCAGTCATTACTTACCTAACAGACACTACTCCAGACATGGGCAGTATACGGCCTCAGCGCCAAAAGTGGCCCTTGATCAATCTATCCGGCTCTGAATATCCTTATAAAGAAAGCAACTTTTAAATAAGTTGATGAAAACCTGCATTTTTTTCAATAAAATGCAAATAAATTGCGATAGATGGAGCTTTTCCTTAGTTTACACATATCCCAGGAGAAATTTGATCAGTCGGCCTGCTTCGAGGTCAAACGGGGAAGTCAGATTCATATAAGCCACATTGTTGTTTTTTTCAGGCATACTGTTTTCTTTCTCGTCAGCCTTGAGTCCTGCTGGTACTTTTGATTCCAAAAGGGCCAGATTTGTGGGCACTCTACTGTCCGTGCTTTTGAGTCCCCTCCAAGGTTGTCCCCAACATGCTGGAGCGTCCCAGAAGCCGCAGGTGGCCTGTGATTCTCACAAATTGCTTCCATCTTACGGTTTAGCTCGTAAATCAGCTGATTTTGAGCACCCGAAGCATGAACCAAACCTTCACACAGACTCGGCAGTTTTGCCATGGCCGAATCTGCTGCCGCCGTCTTCTTCAATTGCCAATAACATAGGAATTTGCCTATGCCAAAAAACATGAACCCTGCTATCATGGTTCGTTATAATTAGACTTGAACGTCCATGCAGTTCTTCTTTTTCTCCTGTCTGCGCTGCCAACTGCACGCGCCCCCTTCTCCCTCATTGAATACAAACCCAGCCCCTCACCCACGTGCGCTCCCCCCGCTTCCTGCTTCTCCAGGTGGGCGGGAGTTTAA